AAAAAATATTATTTTTTTATAAAATTTAAAATAAAAAAGTATAATAATGAAAAAAAAATGGAAATCAAAGCAATTACTGAAAATTTTCTTTATATATTATTATAGGTAACTACATATTTTTTTTTAAAGGGGCATAGTGCTTTTTTTTTTATGCCTGACAGAATATATTAAAATCTTTAATAACTTTATTTATGTCATTGTTTAAAAAGAATACCGGCGACGGCCGGATGATTAGTGGCTTCCACTGAGGCCTTCCTCAGACAAGTAAAATAAAGAAATCTGGAACGTCCAATCAACACGTGGCATCCCTTCATAGCCATCAGATTTGGCCCGCACGCGTTTTCTCCAAAACATTTTTTTTTTAAAACGGCAAAAATATATATGTATATATATAATATCAAGAAATATAAATACACAACCCATACAAATTTGTCAAAGAACAATAGGACAATATTCCATTAACAGGTAATGTAATGTAATTGTCCACCATGCCATTGGTTTTAGGGGTGACTACAACTAAACTTGTTACGTTAATTTAGTTTAGTTAGAAATTGATTTGGAAGAATTTAAACCTTAAAATTAGATTTGGTATATTTTTATAATAGATTTGAATTATATTTTATATTTTTTAACCTAATTTAACATACAATACTTTTTTATAATTGTTTTTAATTATTATGTATTAATATTAAAAATTTAGTGATACTTTTTAAGTTAAAATATTTTTTAGTCCTTATAATTTTATTTATTTTATCTTTTAGTTCTTATAATTTAAAATAAATATTTTAATTTTTATATATATTTTTTTTATTCATTTTAGTCCTTATAATTTAATATAAATCTTTTCAGTTTTTATATTTATATTTTTAAAATAATTTTAGTCTTTATCATTAATTTTTTTGTAACATTATTTTTTTTGTGATGTGACAGGGATATTAATTCAATTTTGTGGATTTAATATCTAATTTATTTTATTTGAGTACTCTAAATTAAGTCTCTCGACACTGTGTACATATTTTGTACCTTCATTTGCGAAATTCAAGTTTTGTGATGTTTTTGTAATGTTGTTTCTTTTGTGATGTGATGAAGGTCTTAATTCAGCTTTCTGTGTTTATTATCAAATTTATTTTACCAGGTCAACTTTTGTGAACAAATTATTGATGATTTTTAAAAAAAAATGTAAAAACAATACTCAAATAATTACGAGGGCACAAAACACCAGAAAAACTCTAGGTTGATCCTGTCTTGTCCATATATTTCAAACCCTATTCAGGTCGAATTTAAATTTTTAAAAAATGGCACATAAAAGAATTTTGGTTGAGTTTGGATAATGATAAGTTTGGTTCAACCAAACCTATGCACATCCCTAATTGACTTCCTTATCAATAATTATGAAAGTATTATCCTTTTACTACCATTTTTTCTATATAAAAAAATTGTATTGTAATTGTCCCTTATTACTTTTCCTTCCCTTGTATTTCCTTTTCTCTCCTTTTGTCCTTCCTAATCCTTCTTATTGTGGAAATGAATTTTCTTCTTTTAAATTAAGAGTGTTGACAAATAAGAACATATCTTTTAATATATTTATTTTAATATTTTGTTGTTGAATAAATAGTCCATCTTATTTTTATCATATATAGGAATCAAACACACAATATTAAGGTGGTCTACAATATATTTACACACTTTATTTAAGTAAAATTCCTTCATAAAAAATATATATAAATATTCATGCAAACTCATTAGGATGGCTAAAATAAGTATTCAATGTAATAAATAATTTATCTTATTTTAGTCATGAAATAGATTTGAGAAAACATACATAAATTTTTTTAAGAATCTTTATGAGTAGTCAAATAAATTTTAATCATTCTTAAAAGTTATGATTCTTAATATTTGTAATTTCTAAGAATCATAATTCTCGAATATAAAAAAAAATTGCTCGTACCAAATACCTCTAAGTGTTGGGTAAAAAAAATCAAAATAAATGTCATTTTAATGTTTTAATATAATATTAATTTTTTATTCTATTTATATATTTGATAATATCTTTTAAAAAGTTATTATTGTGTTACATTATTTCTGATAAAGAAAAATAATAAGGTTAGTTTTATAAAATTATTATTGTTTTTCATTTGTTTTATTAATTTTTTTTAATTTGTCTAAAAAATCCTTGGTTGACGCTCGTCATGGGGATAATTTAGAAACTTATTTAAGAATTAAGAGTTTCCAAATAATTTAGTTACCTACTCCATCCTCTTTATATAGATTGTTTAAGATTTTTCACACACAAATTAAGAAAAATAATTACTTCAAGATAAATTCCATGAAAGCATTATTACGTATATTTCAAGACAATAATACTTATTAAGAAGTAAATTTTGAACAAATTTTTTAATATTTTATTAAAAATTGAAAACATGAATCAATATAATTCCTTTTTTAAATGTTAAACCATTAATCAATGTGAAATGGATGGAGTACTTAATAATTTAATCCAAAATTTAATATGATTTGACTCATTTAATTTCGAAGATGAGAGAAAATATAGACAAATTTTCTCGATGGGAATCATTCCACTGAGTCATCATGATAGGATCATTTCCACTTATTCAATAGCTTATGAGAGATTACACACGATCTTTTCCATCTATGTATCATCAACACTTTCTCTTTTTCTTTTTCCTACTTAACACAACTCGGACTCTGTCACAAGCGTCATTTTCCCTTTCCAGTTTCCTTTGAATTTTTCCACTTTTACGCCTTCAAAACCTCCTCCCATTTCCATTAATGCGAATCGTGTTCCTGCTTCTTCAAATCTTCACAGATTTTCCTTTCCATCTTCAAATGAGACACACATGCTACGCGGCAAAATACTAAAATTCTCCTTCATCACACATCACTTAAAACCCCTCTCAAATAGCGGGTTTTTTTTTTGTTTCTCATATATGCTAGTCATAATTGTGCAGCATGGGAAACACTTGTGTCGGATTGAAAACCTCGTACGATGCACTGTTTCCCTATGTTCTCCCAAGTTCATCATGGTGGTTTCATCAAACGAGGGGCACAGAAACTTCTGAGGCAGTTCAAGACACGAACGCTCTAGAGAGTGTTCAAGAAAAGCCTCCACATGTAGTGAAAATTGACAAGGAGGCTAATACGTGTAGACCTTCGGAGGAACAAATAAGGCACGTGCCAAAAAAAGGTCATAAAGTTAAGAGGGTGGCAACAGCATCTACTGGTGCTGGGCTACAAGCAGAGAAAGTTCTGAAGAGAAAAAGTGGTCACCTTAAAGAGTACTATAACTTGGGACAAGAACTTGGGAAGGGAGAATATGGAAAAACATTCCTTTGCACTGAGAAAGCCACGGGGAGAAAGTACGCATGCAAGTCGATTCCGAAGGTGAAGTTGGTGACAGATGCTGACGTGGAGGATGTGAAGAGGGAGATAGAGATAATGCATCACTTGGAGGGGTGTCCTAATGTTGTATCGATCAGAGAGGCTTATGAGGACGGTGTTGCAGTTCATGTTGTGATGGAGTTGTGTGGAGGGGGTGAACTGTTTGATAGGATTGTGGAGAGGGGGCATTACACTGAGAGAAAAGCTGCTAAACTTGCAAGGACTATAGTTGGTGTTGTAGAGAGTTGTCACTCCCTTGGAGTCATGCATCGGGATCTTAAGCCTGAGAATTTTCTCTTTGTTGATGGGAGTGAAGACTCTACACTTAAGGCCATAGATTTTGGAATGTCTGTTTTCTTCAAACCAGGTTTGGATTCATACAAGTTTAATTTCCTGTTGCCCTTCTTGTCTACTCCACCCACATCCATTTCTTGCTGTTTTCCTTTCCCAGAAGTTTTTGGGAGAGTAATTAATTAGTGGTGCTATGATAAATGTCGTCTAAGAAAAATAAAGGTTAAATATCAATCCTGATAATATTTTTTTGTTTTAATTTAGTCTCACTTTAATTTTAGGTCTCAATTTGTTTCCCAATAATTTAAATTATTGCAATTTGAGACTTCTGTCCAAATGATTTAAACGGGGTTAACTCCTGCTGACGTGGATGTCAGGTGGATGCTACGTAGATGCATAGGTGGATGCCAAATGTCATGAATACACCTGAAACCAGAACGACCCGTTCTGCATACATATGTTATGTGTTAATTTTACAACTGGAACGGCCCGTTCCAAATGCAAATTTAACACAACATGAGTGCAGCAGAACAGGCCGTTCTGAATTCAGAACGGACCGTTCTGCTGTTAGAACGGCCCGTTCTGAATTCAGAACGGCCCGTTCCAGAACGCCAACTTCATACTTTTTATTGTATTTTTTTATTATATCTATATTAATAAAAATATAATAAATAAAAAATACAATAAATTAATATTCATTTATGAATAAAACTAAAAAAAAATCAAAATAAGATAAGATCTTTTAAAATCCTTCTTTGATTTGAACTTATCTAGTTCAGAATCTTGACTAAAATGCCGCAATGTGATTCAAAAATTAAAAATAAAAATTCATAATATATCATAAATTCAAAGACAGAAAGATGGTTTAGAAACTGAAAACAAAAATTCAGAACATAACATATACTAAAAAAGTTCAAAGAAATTATTGAGAAAGGAAATCATCTGGGTAACGCTGAAGGAAAACCCTAAACCACAAAAATTCAGGTTGTACCTCCTCAAGAACAAGTTGTTATTGTTGGGGTACATCGTCAATGACTTCAAGGGAAAACACCGTTTCGTTTCATCCTTGACTCTATAGTGTCAATTTGGTAGTAAGTGGTTCACTCTAGTTTGACTAACAATGAAATAAAACTTGTTATCATTGTCCTTATGATACACTACATCGTCCTTAATGATACACTGTATAGCCCAAATATTTAGCAATTGAAGTTATCAATCTCCATTAACAATATTACCAAATCTAGTGTTTGAAATGCTTTGTACTTTTTTTTCACGAAATTTTGGAACCAGAACGACCCGTTCTGATTACACTGTTGGTGTGTAAATGTTGCATCTGGAACGGCCCGTTCCAGGTACAAAATTTACACACCAATAGTGTAACCAGAACGGGTTGTTCTGGTTTCAGAACGGGCTGTTCTAGTTCCAGGTGCATTCAAGTATTTTGGGATCCACCTACGTGGCATCTACGTGGCATCCACCTGACATCCACGTGGCCACCAGTTAACTTCTTTTAAATCATTTAGACGGAAGTCCCAAATTGCAATGATTTAAATTATTGGGGACCAAATTGAGACCTAAAATTAAAGTGGGACTAAATTAGAACAAAAAAATATTATAAGGGACCAAAAGAGATATTTAACCAAAAATAAATAAGTCACAAAATAAAGGTTGTTTAGGTTTTTTTTAATGTCATATTAATTATATATTTTATATATATATATATAATAGTAATATTCTTTTTAGAAAGTTGTATTACATCATTTTTAGAAAATAATAATAATAATTTAATAACATCAATTTTATAAAATTATTATTATTTATATATATATATAAACTTTTTTTATTTAGTGTAAAAAATGTTGAACAACATTTATTATAAGATAGAGAAGTATGTCCTTTTGAAAGATCAAGGTTAAAAACAGAATATAAACCTTTTTTTATATATTTTTAACTTAAGTGTTATAAAATATTTATAAAAATAAATAAAAGATTCAGATATTGTTTATTAAATTAGCAGAGCTATATTATATTTATAAAAACAAATAAAAGATTAGAATATTAACTGTTGATGAGTTGATTTTTGTCAATCTATTATTTTATTTCTTTTATTTAAAAAGTATATCATTGATTTAGCGATCAATAGCATATAATAGAATCTCCTTGATCAGCCATATGCTTGCGTGTTCCACTCACAGGGGATTATTTGATCTTACCTCTCTTTTCTGTCAACGATATGATAATGTAATTAAAGTTTATTATATGTGTGCCAGTCTTTATATATATATTAGTAGGGTGAAGACACACCTTGTGTCTAAATATTTTTTAAAAATAAAAATAAAATAAAAAACATAAATTTGGTGGCTATTCAAAAAGTTGATTAGCTATTAAAATAAAAAATTATTTATAATTAAATGTGTAATGGTGGAAAATTTATGGAGACTAAAAGTAATTATGAAAAAAATTATTTTCTTATATATTAGTATATATATATATATATAATATAATGAAGCGAGTCATATTTCTTGTATTAGGATGTAATTAAATAAATTTAATTTAAATATACCTATATTATATATTTTTTTAAACTATCATTAGTTGATAACTAAGATTGATTGATTTTATTAGTAATTATTTTAAAAATTATACTTATACCTAGTGTGATTTCTAATTGGTTGGAAATGTATAAAAAAAACACTAATATTGTATGAAATTAAACTCTAATTAATTTGCTTCCCATTGAAATCAAACAACAGATAATTTGATATGAGAACATGTAGAGCTTTCCTGAATAATTAAATTGTCGTTGATGCAATGATGATGCTTCCCTCAATAAATTTAGTTGACAACTAAAATTTTGTGCATTGTTATTCTTACATGATTGCTATTGGTGTTTGTCACTAACAATCTTTAATTTATTTATAGGAGAAATTTTTAGGGACATGGTTGGAAGTCCTTATTACATGGCACCTGAAGTTCTACGTAGGCATTATGGTCCAGAAGCTGATTTGTGGAGTGCAGGTGTGATCATATACATTCTCTTATGCGGAGCACCTCCATTTTGGGGTGGTACGAGTTCTTAAGCCCTTCAATGATCCAATCATTTTTTTTTTAATTTTTATTTCCTTAAGTTTCAAAATTGAGAATTTTATTTTCCTTGGTAATAGAATCGGAGCAAGAGGTATTTGAGGAAGTTTTGCATGGTGATCTTAATTTCTCTTCAGATCCTTGGTCCAATATATCTGAAAGTGCTAAAGACTTGGTTAGGAAAATGCTTGTTAAAGATCCTAGAAAACGGATAACTGCACATGAAGTTCTTCGTAAGTTTCTGCCCTCATTCCACTGAGATGCTAGTCAAACACATTTGGCATATTTTCTTTAGCATAGCCATATTATTCTTTTAATTGCTGATAGTTTCCTACTTTCCTTTGATACACCCTCAACACTTGCAATGAAAATCTTCTCAAGAATAACATATTTAGTGCTTAAATTTTGGTCACTAAAATTACTGTACAGTTAGATCTTTTCAATTTTATCAAGCACACTCTAAGAAGGAATTTATTGCATTAAGGTCTTGCACCAAATATTAGGCATTTTATCAAACTTTCTGACTCCTGTGTACACTAATTACCATTTTCCATTGACACACTCTAAGAAGTTGAAGTTTTGTTACCATATAGTAAGTGATAATGTCCTCACTCTTTGCAGGTCACCCTTGGATTCAGGTTGAAGGAGTTGCTCCAGATAAACCTCTTGATTCTGCAGTTATGAGTCGCCTGAAGCAGGTTTCTGTAATGAACAAGCTCAAGAAAATGGCTCTTAGAGTAAGTAGTTTTTCTATGGCATAAATCTGCATCATGATTCATGACAGTACGTGGTTTTCTCTCTTCTGGGAATGGTAACTAGTGTATTGTTATATGTTAACTTCTATTTGCAAAGTAGAATATATCAACTTCCTTCTATTTGGAATTGTTTAGTAGTGCACTCATAATATTTTCCTTGTTCTCTGCAGGTTATTGCAGAGAATCTCTCGGAAGAAGAAATTTCTGAATTGAAAGTAGTGTTTAAGATGATAGACACGGACAACAGTGGTCAAATTACTTTAGAAAAACTCAAGGTTGGATTGAAAATGCTTGGTGCTAATCTCAGTGAACCTGAAATTTTGGATCTAATGCAAGCTGTAAGTAGTAGTACTACAGAATTATCTTCACTTTCCTTAACTGACATAAACCTACATTTTCTCCTTTTTCTTGTTTGGCCAAACAGTCCCTCCTGATAGAAAATCAGTGTTATAATTTTAGGAGTTAGGACTCTTATTAAGCAAGTAGTCAATAGACGTAGTTCTATTGGACTTCATGTGTTCAAGTTGTAACTTGACCTAGATTATGATGATCAGTCTTTCTCGTTTCATTCTTTATGATTAATATTAAGGGAAAGCTCTGAGTATCATTTAGTGAAACATTCTTATGCAAATAGGGAATAGTAAATAACTATCAAAATATGTTGTTTCTGACTGCAGGCAGATGTTGATAACAGTGGCACAACTGACTATGGAGAATTTATAGCTGCAACGTTGCATTTAAACAAAGTTGACAGAGAAGATCATTTAATTACAGCTTTTTCATATTTTGATAGAAGTGGAAGTGGCTACATTACTCAAGATGAGCTTCAAAAAGCTTGTGAAGAATTTGGCATGGCGAATGTCTGCTTGAAGGAAATGATCAGAGAAGCTGATCAGAACAATGTGAGTACATTTTACAGTAACGTAATTTAAAGTTTGGTATCTAATAAATGAAACCATAACACTTAAAGCTTGGTGCTCCTGATCAAATTGAAACTTAATTATGTTTTTCTACCAGTTGAATGAAAAGTAAACTAAACTTCTAAACAATGTTTTCTTTGTTGTTCAGATTTTTAATTCTGATATAACGTGTTTAGTCATAAGTGGCCTTCATAACATTTTGTTTATGTTAAACTAAATTTATGCAGTATAGATACTCCAAATTTATGACTTTGTTATGGTCATGTTTTAACCTTTCAGGATGGCCGAATAGACTACAATGAATTCGTAGCTATGATGCTGAGAGGAAATGCAGATTTAGGCAAAAACGTTGTAAATAGTGGAACTGATCTTAGAATTGGATATAGGGAGGCACTATCAGTGTGTTAATACAAAGTGGAAATTAATTTTATGCTTTTCCCCACGATGTGGTCAAATTATTTTCTCTTGAAAAGCTTAGTCAGAGGCTATTAGTAAAATTGTTGATAGGTTTGCTTGGTGGGTTTTCCCATGTTATGTACATTATAGAGGAAAATATTATCTTACTAATTCTTTCGAGTTTCGACTTGGTGACTTCTGAATTTCAGCCACATTATAATTTATCTGAGTATTAAATGCATCATTATGGGTAGGACAATTCATATGAACAAGTTTAACATGAACCGATGAAGTGACTTGATAATGGAGTTGGTAGAGGGAGCTTTTCAAGTGGTGCTAGTCATGCTTAACACTTGGGGTTCAAAGGATAATAATGACTTGCCTATGTTAAATATCACTATCTCAATTTTATTTGTCTGGCCTCCGAATGTTATAGATTTGAATTATAATATAAAACAACCTATTTATATAAAGGAAAAAGGCAAAATCAATTGAACTAGATATTTTCAATTTAACATTTAAGATCAAAGACCTAAATTTAGATTAAGTAGTCCAATTTAAAGAAAAAGAAACAGAAAAATTGCAAACTATGGTCCTCACTTAATCTCAAACTTGGCCATCATCTCAGTGATTTTTTTTGGATAAAAACTGTATATGTGTGTGTAACATAGGTTTAACTGACATTAGTCAGTGAGTCAAAGTTTATACCATTACCAACATCATACTCTTTTTCTGTTCTACCTTAATCAAAAGATCAAGATGTTATCATTAAACTAATCAGGTAACTTGTTTCTCCTCTTTCCTCCCTGTCCATTAAACATTAAAAGTCCTTCTTTCTCTGCTTTATTCATGACTTCACTAAGCATAGTGATTAACTAGACAGATTCTCACCATGATCACTCTCAAACTCTCGCTCGTTAAGCAGATCTAATTTTGTGTGTGGGTGTTCTCATAGCTAATGGAGAAGAAAACATTAAAAAGAAATGCTAAAATGGGATAAAAAATCCTTTTCACTCGTTACTCAGATTCAATTTTTTGTTAATTGTATGACATTCACTGCTAGACTCTTTCTTTTTGGCCTTCAGCAATTGGGTACACCGTAATCCTTTCAATGTATAAAATTTGTTATTAAAGATTTGAACAATATATAGTCAAGTTGCAGTGATTTCAATTATAAAATGAAAGAAATCATGTGGACATCACCGTTTAACAAAAACATGAAGGTTGAGTGATGGTGCACATCCCGATTTCATTATCCATAAGTTGGCAATGGGTCAATGAGTGGGATTTTGGCTGTCTATTTAATTATGAAATTCTTAAATTAAGTGGGGATCATTATTCCAATCAGGATTAATATTCTCTTTTATGAACTAGGCCTGAATTTTGTCTTGAAATATTTAATGAATTTGGTGACTATTGTCTATCACTTGGTCAAATATCCCAACTTTATAATCGAATAGCGTATAAGAGGAATGATGTCATTACACTTGTTACTTTCATGGTTAGCTATCAAAGGTAAGCTCACCTAATGAACTAATACGTTTTTCCTATCCTCATAATCTTCCTTTATTTTCTTTTCTCCAGGTAGTGTTTTTTTTCTTCATTTATGATGTCTTGAAATAATGTATTTTTTTTTCCCATACAGCTTCAAATATATACTATTAAAAATAAATTTACACATCTTGATAATTATACTTATATACCTTTACTCAAATAATTAAAAAATAGTTAAATATTTTTATTATAAATAAATATTCCTTTCGACTTCAAATATAAGTAAAAAAAGTAATACTAAATTTATGTTAATTAAAAAAATAGTTAACATTATTTAATTTCACTAATCCTATTTTAAAAAAAAAACTATTTTCATAAACTACCCTTCCTTGTAAATTGACATTAAGAATAGACTAAATTATATTTTAGACTCTTTATCTTATTTTTTAAATTTATTTTACTTCTTTATCTATTAAAATGATGATTTAAGTTCTTTATTTTTTATATTTAGATCAATTTGATCTTCTTAAAATAGCATTAATTTTTAATTTTACAATATAATTTTAAATTAATTTTTGACTGATTCGAGACGTAAAACTTATAACGATAGATTTAATTATATAAAAATTATAAAATTTAATTGACAATTGAATTCATAAGCACTATAACATAATGAAAATCATGTGAAAAATATGTGTCATAAATAATTAGAAAATAATATAGGGTTTTATGTGTATAATTAAATCAAGTAATGTATTTGTTATTTATATACATAAATTAATTAAATTTAATTTTTAATTTATTTTAATTTTAATATATTATGATCAATTATTTTTTATTGATTTTAATATTGTTCTTAGTTTTTAACTTATTAATTTAATTTTAATATATTATTTTTGTTATTGGAGATAAAATCACAATTTGTGATATATTGAAAATTAAATTGTATTATAATAAATTACAATTATTGAATTAAAATATAAAATAAAAACATTAAAAGTAGTTTATTAAATGTATATTATAAGTGTCTGCGTGAATTATAATATTTATAGAAAATTACATAGATAAAATTAAAATAAGAATCATATTAAATATATATATATATGATTATCTTAGTTTAAAATACTTTCTGTTATCTTGATTTTTTTAATTTTTTTCATTTTGTTACTACTGAATTAGCTATAATTAATAGTGATGACTTAAAAAAAGACACTAATAAAATGTCAAGAATTTAAAAATGATGAAAAAATTACAATAACTAAAAAGAGATAAAATTATATATACAAACACTTAAAATATATTTAAATGTAAATTATTTTCAATAAAACTTTAGAAAATAGTATTTTAGTTTGTGTAATGTACAGTTTAATATTATAAGTTTCTATTAATTATTATCTTTTAATAATAATTATGTGTTGAAATGTGATGTTAAGAGACCTTGAAAGTTAAAGAATTTTTAATAAGTTTTTAAATATTTTAGAAAAAAATTTTGAATAAAAATCTAGTTTGATCCTAATAAAATATATAACACTCTAATTTTTATAAAATTATATTAATGTTATGTAGTATTTATATTAATATTTTAATGTGTTTATTAGAAGAATTTTTAATATTATTTGTCTATTTGATAGGAGCTTTAATATTTAATGCAATTTTTTTTAAGAAAGTTATAAAATAATGTGGGGGAGTCAAATTGTGTAATTGACCAATTAGGAAAGTTATAAGAAGGAACATGTAGAAATAATTGTGACATTCCCTTGTGTAAGGGCACGTGGGCATATGACCTAGAGACTCATGGATGGAGGCCCACTTATCCTTACATAGCCATGAAAATCATAATGACATGTTTTCGCGTGGAGCACACGCGCTGTCCACCGAAATAACTAGCTCGCAAAATAAAACAGTGTATTATGATTATCAATACAAGACTCATTTTGTGCCTCTAAATATTTTTAAAAATATAATAATATAAATCTTATTTAGAATTAATTATTAATAGTTATTAAAAATATTTTTTAAAATTAAAAATATAATCTTTTATAATTATAGAAACGAAAAATAGTTATGAAGAAATATTTTCTTTATTTATAGATATAGGTTAAGAGAAAATATTTTGTACCTCTATTCTTTTAAAATATAAAAAAAAGTGGGTGATTAAATAGAGATAATGAAAAAACTTTAGAAGTTTAAAATGAGAATAGATATAAAGGTGAAAATAAACACTTAATAAATAATGATGAAGAGAAACACTATGTTAAAAATAATAATATATATATATATATAATAGTCTAAAAAAATATACATGAAAAAATATTTGACTCTTCTAAAATCAATGATGTACTTTAAAAAATAAAATACAATAATAATTATTCTTTTAAAAGTTGATAGAATAAAATTATGATAAAATTGAATATGTGTATAATAAAATCTATAATTAATTATAATTTTATAATTAATTTTTAATTGATGATTATTATTACACCTTATTCTCTTAAGTGAATTTTTCCCATTTTAGAGAAGTCAAATCCCACAAAAGAAATTATATTTTTTTAATTAATATTATAGATGATAGGATATCATATAATAATAACTTTTTTAGATGACAATAAGAATGTATAATATCAACCTTTAAATTAAAATAAACGACTCATAAAAAAATTTACAAATAAGACTATTACTTGTAATCACCATTATATTGTTTCTATCCTTTTCCTTGTTATCATTATTATAACTGTCACCACCATTACAACCAAGTGACAACCATTATTATTATCACAACTGCTAGCATCCCACCATCACTACCATTGTAATAGTCATTGCCTTTGGCACCATACCATCATCAATGCTAATGATGGCAATGGGACGACAACAATGATTGATTGGTCATAGTAGTGATGATAATAATGATGACAATTAATGGTGATGATGATGATAATGATAAAGGAAATTATAATAGTAATAATATATTATAGTTTAATTTGTATTTTCTTAATTTAAGTCATTTATTTTAAGATAAGGTATGAGATTAAATGTTCTTATTTTCACTTAAGAAAGTCATTCTCATATGATATATCCCCTATCATTTATATTGTTAATAAAATATATATTCTTTTTGTATTCATTTTTTAGACTATTTTATTCGGTTGTCCTTGCAAATACTTATGACTCACTATTTCTCTCCCATTTTTTTGTGTGTTTACTCTCTTTTTATTTTGTAAATTCTCATTTCAAACTCCTTAAGTCTCTTTTTTTTCTTTCTACAAAGAGGTATAACTTCTTTCCACTAGATCAATCCCTATAAAACTAAAGTGACATGTTTAGTCACAACTTCATAGCTAAGTCTCATTCTTTAATTAATTACTTTTTTGTTTTTGTTTTTTTATTTCTTGAAAAAATGCAAGAACAACATACCTCTTTCTCCTAATATTCACATTCATAACACACACAATGCTTTATTATATTTCTATACTAAAAAAATTTATATAAAACTGTGTATATAAATTTTGTATTAAGAATTTAATCAATTTTTTATAAGAACTATAATTAAATAACTATATTTACATATACTTAAAATATATTTAGCCATCGTGGACATAAATGGTTTGTGATTTAATTTGAGTTTGTGTTCTTTATGATACAAGTTCAACATTCATGTAATCATTAAATTTCTACTTTGATTGACATATCTACTCAAGAAGATTTGTTAACACCAAAGGTCAATTCAATAAATAAAATTATAAGTTAAATTTAACATTATTAAACTTCAACCAATTACTAAGAAGATAATAATATTTAATTTAAAATTTTTCAAGATGTTATTAACTCTTGACTCCCTATCTGTAGTCTTGGATTGTGATCCACTATTAACTATTTTCAGTGCTAAAAAAACCTATATTTGTCTAAAATGAAGTCCTTTAAATAGGATATTTTGATTAGGATGAAATTGCAAATTAAGAGAGGGAGGCGGCAACTTAGAGAAGAAATTGGATCCTGCAAAGTGCAAAGTGTAGTTAAAGAGAAGCACGTTCTGACAGCTCACGCGCGGTTGGTGGGAGGTGGTTTTGTGGGGTACTTGTCATGGTTCGCCTAACGTGCGACCAATCATGTTCCTTGCTCCTTCCATGTCATCCCTCCTCAACCATTCCCATGTTCTCAAACAGTACATTTGTCTCTTTCC